TGAAATGATATCCATTCATCCAATAAAGAGAGTTTCATTGATATTTTAAATGTCTTATTGCTCTTTGTATTAGTTGAAGAATTGAATTGGTAGACTTATATTATTCTTTTATAGTAAATCAAATATAATAATGATGGATGGTGTAAACCAAACTGATTTGTTGAGATATCATATTCTTTTAAGTAAACCAAAGATTTTTTTTTGTATGGATGGCTTACTGTTCAGTTTTTAGTTTTCCTTCACTCAAAGAAAATCATAAGTTGTATTCTATGTGTCTTTTAGAATACTAAGTTATACATACATTGTGGATATTTTAACAAAAAAATTATGCTACACTTGCCAAAAAATAGTATAGGGAATTTGTTCGAAAAAAACTATTGACCCCCCCCCCCCCCCCCCCCCCCACAAAGAACTTTATAATGGTCTTGCAATTCATGAAAAACACAACATACCAGAACAATGTATCCGGCCTTTGTAGATGCAATCAAATTCAACTTTGGAAGATGACATGGTTCTATATAGAAACTAATCATTAAAACGAATATAATTGCCAAAAAGAAACTATTTGACGAAAGCAAACTATTCTTGCCGCAAAACCGCCTGATAACAATCTCTTTCTATTTTGAGTTCTTTGAAATAAATTAAAAATCATTTGGTTCATAATCAAATACACAATCAATAGTTATTCTAAAATACATATAACAAATGCATTATAACATACATCCGACAAACAAAAGATTATTTTTCAAACTTTTCACATTTGGTGCATAACTAAATACACAATCAAAAATTAAACTAAAAAACAAAAAAGTGTGTTCACCATATTATTTTCTTTAGACTATAACATGTTTCCAAACAATAAATCAAACAATCAAAATTTTCAAAATAAATCACCTATTAGTCAAACTTATGATAACCGGTGACTAAAATTCTAAAAAAGGCCACCAATTAACCTAAACTGCCAAAATGCCGCAAAGTACTACCTCACACCTAAATGAAACTAATCGTCACGTTAAAACTATTTGCGTAAAACAACTATTCGCATCCGTTACTTGACGCGGATATACGACTACTCTCTCTCTCTCTCTCTCTCCCTCTCTCTCTCTCTCTCTATATATATATATATATATATATATATATATATATATATATATACACACACACACACGACTACTATAATTGTGTTGTTTTTCTTTTGTAACAAACAATGTTGAGTTTTTTTTGTTTTGTTTTTATATTATGTTTTTTACCTTAAAAATATTGTAGGTGTAATGTTGTAGTTTTTGCACCTTAAAATATATTATTTGTTTTATTTATGATGGCTAAATTTTGATGGCCAAAAGTTTGTGTAAGAAAAATGGATATTTAAAATACAAAAATACAAATTAAAAAGATAAAAAAAAAACTGTGAAAAAAAAAAAGAAAACATTAAAAAAAATTGAAATGAAAACTATTATTTAAAAAAAATAACAAAAGATTAAAAAGGTTAAATAAATAAGAAAAGATAAAAAAAATCGAATACGTAAAATAGAAAAATCATTAAGAAAAGCTGAACAGTAAAGAAGAATGAAAAAAAATAGTAATATAATAAATATTTTTCAAAGTACACTAAAATAATAAATATTTTCTTTAATCACCCTAATACGGTAAAAACTCTAGATTTGCTCTATTTGATTAAACCGATGTTGGTGGTGATAAAGTTGAATAAAATGGTATGATTTTGTAATTGTAAATAATTAAAAAAAAAGGTAAAATAATAATATAGGAGTAAATAGATAATTTTAAAAATATTTAACATTTATTTTTAATTGAGTTAACAAAATTACTAAGATGCTTGATTAACAATAAAGACCATACGTGACACATAAAAATCTTCTAAAATATAATTTTTTAAAATATCCTGAAAATATAATTTTTAAGGAATAATAAAAACCATTTGGGAAATTTTGTCAATTTGTTATCAATGTATTTGACTTCTTAATATTGATTGTATTTACTAGTGAGGAAAATGATCAATGTTATATGAAAAAGGAAATAGTTGATATTCTTGGTATTATGTCTAAATGTACTTTGTTTGCACTATTGTGTTTTGTTTGAATGACATAGAGCCTTTTTAGTAATTCTTACTTGAGTTATTTATTGAATTCTAAATCGATATGCAAGATCAATAATAGCAAAGGAAAAAATATTTTAACAAGTAATAGTGACCGGAAAGGATTTTTTTTGCCAATCATGCAAGGTGAAGATTTTTCTAAAATAATTTACATGTGATATGGATTAAATGTTTGTTTGGTGATCTTAATGACGACCTGAATGTGGAAAATGTTAACTACGACAATCAAACTACAAATTTTCTTTCGACATGAAATGTTCAATGATCGTGTAAATCACATTGATGTATGTTATCGTTTTTTGTTTTTGTGAGGAATTATTGCTAAAGGAGTTTTCAAGGTGAGCAAAATTTCTAGTGATGACAATCTGC